AATATAGTAAATCGTGGATGGTAGAAGTTGTTGATATGACTCCAAAGAGTGACGACAATTTATTTTTAAATAATTCTGGCTTCGCCTCTAATAGTAAGACTGTAAAATAAAGGGAAAATTTACGAGGAAGGTCCTTTTATGAGGTCGACCTTGTGTGGAAGGTCCTTTTATGAAAAAGGTGGCACGAAAGGTCCTTATATGAACATTGGGTTGCGAGGAGGGTCCTTTGACCAAATTCCGGCGTTGACCAAGATTTTCCAGCCAAAAATAATCACGTGATGTGCACGTGACCACTTAAATGAGGTTTTTTAGGTGGTGGATGTTCGAGGTGTGGGTTTTAATGGGTGGTTTTCGTAGGTGGCCGGTTCTGGTTCTGGTGAAATCAAACACCATAACAATTAACAACCATAATTCTAATTGTAATTGTTGTTTCCGAGCTTAATTTAAAGGGTGAAAGGGAAATCAAGGGAAAAGAAGGAAAAAGGAAAAAAAAAAACCTCATTTAAGTGGTCACATGCACATCACGTAATTATTTTTGGCCGGAAAAAATTGGTCAATGCCGGAATTTGGTCAAAGGGCCCTCCTCACAACCCAATGTTCATATAAGGACCTTTCGTGCCACCTTTTTCATAAAAGGACCTTCCACACAAAGTCGACCTCATAAAAGGACCTTCCTCGCAAATTTTCCTAAAATAAAGTGTATTTTGGTTGGACAGATGGTTTTTAATAACGTCCCTGATGTTATTGGTGGTGGTGGCTCATTTTTGATGAAATAAGGACATAACGTCAATGAATCTGCTACATAGACTAATGGAGATGTTAATGTGCATAACAAGGTTGGTAAACAAGGAAGTGTTTCTGTCTTTTTTAACAACAGGCAATAACAACCTTCCTCATCAATCATGATTAACTACATATTATGCTAGTGTTTCATCTATGTTAACTCTCATTATATTGGCTATGCTAATAATTGCAATTGTTACCATTTTTTACTTAGATTGTTACGTTAATGATATCTTGACCAGGTATATTCTTGATTGCTACTCCGTATTAGAGTTTCATTAGATATGTTATACGAAGTACAAAGTATATTTTTTATATCTCATGACATAATTGTTTATTAGTACCATTTTAATTTGTTATTATATATGTTGCAACTATGTTTATTCAGTTGCTTGCCTCTGTTCACTGTCAATATTCTACTTTAAATATTCTTACAATGACTAAAAGTAATCTATGTAATTATATTCAGTGTTATACTTGGGACGATTTTCTTAAAAAAGGTTTTTCTAAGTTATGACTATGTAGTTCGTTGTTGATTTTTAAGATGTACCCATGTTTTTTCAAAATTGCATGATGTTTTCTTCAACTTATAATGTATCGTATTCGCGGGCTACTTGATTGACCTTTGACTCAGGTCAAAACTAGACCTGAAAGCTCATAAGAAACTCAAATTCCTTTCATATGATACCCTCTTCGTACATTACTATATTACTTGATCCATTTCTCCGCATTTAGAGCTTTAAAAGAAATAGTAAAAAGCACTTCCTCCGTTTCTTTAAAACTGCAACATACACTTTATCACTGTATTTAAGAAAGGTGAACCTCACATAATATAATACACTCAAAATAGGGTTAAGAGCTTGTTAGGAGTATAATCAAGTAGGCGATGAGCTGTAAATAAAGATAATAATACAATTCTCACCACAAAAATCATCCTTTTCCAACTATTATGATATTTTCGTTTTAGAGAAATGTTAATAAAAAATTTAATGACCTTTTGGGCCTTCTAGACTTAATCATTATTCATTACCATAATGGCGCAAATTTTTCTATGGACCCTGGTCCATCTAGAAATAGGTGGAACACGCTTACACTTTTGAACATTTAGTAAAAAGATATGAATAATTGTAAATTTTAAACATTTAGTAAAGAAATCCGAACATCACAGTGTACGACGCCTATATTTTTGAACAAAATAATATTTGAGCAATCGCATATTTTAAAAATTTAGTAAAAAATAATCCGAAAAACATCGCAAATTTTTTACTAAATTCTTAACAATCGCAATATATCTAAACAATTCGAAAGTATCTGAACAATCGCAATGTACCATTGCCTACACTTTTAAACATTTAGTAAAGCATATAAACAATTAAAAATAATCCGAAAAATATCTTAACAATCGCAATATATTACGCCTAGTAAAAAAAATCTAAATAATTGCAAATTTTGAAGATTTATTAAAAAAAAAAAAAAAAAAAACCCGAACATTGCAAATTTTGAACATTTAGTAAAAGTATCTGAACAATCGCGATGTACCATGCCTACACTTTTAAACATTTAGTAAAGCATATAAACAATTGCAAATTTTGAACATTTAGGCCCTGTTTGATTCACCTTAAAAAAATAATATTAAGTAAAAATAATTTCAGTTCAGTAAAAATAAGTTCAGTTCAGTAAAATTAATTTCAGTTCAGTAAAAATAATTTCAGATCAGTAAAAATAAGTTCAATTCAGTAAAATTCAGTTTTATTAAAGAAGAATTATAATAGAAAATCAGTAAAAATAATTTCAGTTCAGTAAAAATAATTTAAGTTCAGTAAAATTAAGTTCAGTTCAGTAAAAATAAGTTCAGTTCAATAAAAATAATTTCAGTTCAGCAAAATTAAGGTAAATCAAACAGGGCCTTAGTTAACAAATCCAAACATTGCAAATTTAAAACATTTAGGAAAAAAAATCTGAACAATCGCCTAGATTTTAGCAAATGGGCTGGTTTGTTGGTTGCATCGGAGTTTGTTATGGTCTGCATAGAGTTCGGGCCTTTGGCAATATAATGGGCCTGGAGCGGTGTCGGTAAATGACCTTTCAATCTTTCATCACAAACAGCCACGTGCATAGCAAGTACTGTATCTGTAGTTATACAGAATATTGAACTTTTAGCCGATAATCCTGTAATGAAATGCATGCGACCACTCTAATATTCAATCAATTCACTATTTACTCATTACACATCCTATAATAATACATTAATACTTAATCAAGTGTCATCATAAAAATCTTATTTTTCTCTCAAAAAAAAAAAAATGTGTATCATAAAAATCTTACTTCGTATTACGTATATAGTCGTATAATAATCTATACTTAGTATTTAAAAATAATCTATACTTAGTATTTAAAAAAGCAAACCAAAAAAGACATATGTCATCATTCTATTACACTTTCCTATCTTCTTCTTCAACTCAATGTGCCACTTGTCGTTTTACATTTTTTATTTTTAATTATACAATTTTTCTTAACTCTTTCATTAAACACTTCATCTTCATCTCCCCTCTTTAATTCAACCTTTTTATTTTCTCTCTTTGATTTTAGTCCCTCCATCTTCTTTATATTAAGTCTCATTTCAAATTAAAGTCCCAAAATTTTTATTTCTTTAATTATGTTTTCATTTACATATTACACTCATAATTATTTATTGGTATTTCCTTAATCATCTCTCAATGCAATTTTCTTTGAACAAGCCGTGCATTGCACGGGCCAAAAGACTAGTTAATCATAATAATTAGCACTGTCAAAACGGTTTGACAGTTCGGTTTCGGTTTAGTTTGAAATCGGGTCGGTTTGGAATCGGTTTAATTGTCTCACGGGTCGGTTTTGGTTCGGTTTAAATAGTTATCGGTTCGATTTGGTTTCGATTTATTCTTAAGCGGTTTTAATTCGGTTCGGGTTGTAAACAGTCCGGGTAGTAAACGGTTCGGTGCAGACGTGTTGCGGTTTGTTAACGGTGCGGTGTAAACGGTTTTTATACCGGTTCAAACAGTTTCGGGTTGGAAACGGTTTCGGGTTAGAAACAGTTCGGTTCTTTTTTGGTTCAGTTTATAACTGGTTCGGTTCTTTTTCGGTTCAGTTTTAACTGGTTCGGTTCTTTTTCGGTTCAGTTTATAACTGGTTCGGTTCTTCGATTGTTTAACCACTTTAACGTTATTCATATCGGTTCCATTTCAAGTTTACTAAATTATAGTTGAATCTGAATTAAAATATAGCCTAATAGTATATTCATGTCACTGGCACACTCCCATCTTTATTTCATTATTACTTAGAGAATCAATGTAATCATATGCTTAATAGTCTCTGTGAATTAATTTTATTTATTACGCCTTTAGCCAAGCCTTGATACTTAATATTACAAGCTTTTTGTTCATTTGGTTTCATCACCTCAAATGTATACATGACTAGAGGCAGTAGTGTTGCTAATAGTTTGAGGCAGGGCCTGAGCCTGCTTGTTTTGCTCTTGTTTGTGAACACTGATTATCCTTAAGACCTTAATGAATGATTTGCCTTGCTATTTTAAAAAAAATATTCTAAGATTTCTAATATTTAATCCATTTAATTATATCCCCGTCAAAAAAAAAAAAAAAAAAAAAAAAAAAAAAAAAAAAAAACCATTTAATTATATAAAAAAGTTTGTAAACGGTTCGATTTAGAAGCGGTTTGGTTCATAAACGGTTCGGTTCATAAACGGTTCGGTTTATAACCAGTTCGGTTTACAATCAGCTCGGTTTTTAAATGGTTCGGTACAAACGGGTAGCAGTTTGCTAACGGTTCGGTGTAAGCGGTTTTTTTTGCCAGTTTAAACGGTTTCGGGTTGGAACCGGTTTCGGGTTAGATACGGTTCGGTTCTTTTTCGGTTCGGTTTTCTTTCAGTTCGGTTTATATTCCGTTCGGTTTGTTAACGAGTTCGGTTCTTATACGGCTTAACATTATTCGGGTCGATTCGGTTTCAGGTTTACTAAAATACGGGTCGAGTCGGTTTTCCACTTCAAAAAAATCGATTTTTAATTGGTTCGGTTCTCATTTGGATCGGTCGATTTCAGGCTATTAAACGGTTTCGGTTTGAAATTTGACAGCACTAATAATAATCCTAACTTTATTCAAACCTTTATTGCAACGGTGGCAATTTGTAACATCACCTACGTGTCAAATCTTTTATAGCATTGCTGTCAATTTTATGTTAGTTCCCTTATTACATAAACTTTGTAGTCATCTTTTCTTCTCTCTATTTCTTCATAGTTCATAACATCTTCCTACAAACACTATACTTCATTACTTCCCACCTCAAATTTTACATGTAAAAATGGATACTCAAAACCTTAAGCAAAGGACTACTAGACAAGAACCCACCACCACGAACGACGAAAGCGTTCGAGGGGCAGGGCAGAAGATGAAGAGAACCATGGCAAAACGCGGTCTTAAATCATTGAGTATAGCACTAACAATCCCGGTGATTCTAACACTTACCAACATCTACATGTTTGGTACAAGTGACAACTACAAGTTGTTCAACAGACCTAATTGGGTACCTCCAATATGGGCTTTGCACATGGCTTGTTTGGGCTCAGCTTCCTTATTGTGCCTTTGTGGGTGGCTCGTTTGGGCTGAAGGCGGGTTTCATAAGAACCCGAATATAGCCGGGTTATATTTTGGTCAGTTTGGGTTGAGTCTCCTTTGGGATCTCTTGATGTTTAAGCTTGGCGCTAACTGGGCTGGTTTGTTGGTTGCAGTCGGAGTTTGTTATGGTTTGTATCAGTGTTACAGGGCGTTTAAACAAGTGAGCGATATCGCCGCCGATTTAGTTCTGCCGTGCTTGGGATGGTCTGCACTTCTTGGATTTATAAGCCTTAAGTTTATGCTGAACTAAAATTGTTGGTGTAATATGAATCTGTTGTTGAATGTCTGTAGATATATAGCTCTTTCCCAACCATTTTGGTGTTGTTTTAAACGTGTTTCTTCTTATCTTTTTATCTTTCTTTCGCTATATTATGTGAGTTATAATGTTTGTATGTATAAATTATCTTCAAGTTTGATAAAGTTTCTTAATATTACAGGAAAAAGTTAAAATATATTTGGTTGCTGCCTTGCTGCTGTACTAATACTAGAGTTTGAGCAAAGAATTTCAGCATCTGCAAAACAATCTCAAGGGGTACACTAGATTGAAACTAGAGGCATAAAACTAAAATAAATTTAAGTTGTACACTTTTTTGGCCTTTGAGATGTTTAAAGAATATTTTCAGTTATCTAAGACGGTCTATATAAAAAATTCATATGGAATAAGAAATCTAAATATAGATAAACCAAAGTCTTACGTGAAAGATAACTATTACCAAAACATCATTACTATAACTTCTTGGATTTATAATCCTTAAGTTTATGCTGAACTAAAAAATATTTGTTTTAAGTGAAAAAATTGGTCGAACTGATGCATCATAATTCATACATGCAGATTATAACTTATAATGTGAAAGATAACTATAATTAAAACATCATTACTGACAATCCAATGCTTCAACTAAAGTTGCAGATCAGAGTCTTTCCATTGCTCGTTAACGAAGCAGGAGAAGCTCTTTGTTTCATAGAACAAATGTGTAAAATACCAGATACACCAATAATAATAAGCTCCTAAAAGTAGCAAACATCCATTTTCCAGAATTAGTCTCAATTTCAAGATCACCACCATTAACATGAGATAAATCGCGCTAAGTGACTGCAAAATTCATAAAATGCCTCTTAATTCTAAACCCGGAATTGTGCAGTGACCTTCAAACAGGGGCAAATTATACTAGGAACCCATCAGTGTCTCTGCCTACTGGCTATGAGAGGGGTGTTCATGACTGGCTTGATCAACACACGTTTTGGCGTGTGTAGTGCCTAAAGCCCTAAACCGCGGTGCAGTAATTCATGCACCCAAGTGGTAAGAGCTAGGAGCAATTTGCCCAGTGATTGATATCAGCAGCTCATCAAATAATACCATTCCCATGATCCACTACACAAGTGTTATTGTTCACTTCCCATCTTAAACCCAATGACCGGCATTAAGGTTAACCATGACACCCTATATTTGAATACTTTCCATACCATAACAAACCATTGCAGAAAGAAAAGGAAGGCAAGAAACTAAATATGGATTATGTACTTAGATTTCTGAAAGAAGCTAAACATGGATTATATACTCAGATTCCCGGTAACAAACACCGACAAGATCAGTGTTAATACATCGAATTCACAAGATATTTATCAAGCAACAACAGCTGAGAAGAGAACCAAAAAAATATGGTACTTATCTCTTTCAAGTGGTACGAGTATAGTTTCCTAAAAAGGAACAAAAGAATATTATGTACAATCCTAACAAGCACATACACAAACTCTCATACAAAACCTATGATGTCGTACACAAACGCATGAAATAAGAGCTGAGAGATCACAGATGAGAGAGAGGGATGACCAGCCAGCTCAAGATCATGATGCCTTCATTGCCTGAATCCCCTGCTTATCTTTAACCTCGTCCAGTTTCAGTGTCTGATCTCGTTTTTTCTTAACTCTCCTGCTAGCAAGTGACACATGAGAAAATCCATACATTTTCAAGACCTGGTTATCCCCAAAATTGAACGCTCTCTCCATATGTTGCAAACATCTTTCCACAGGATAATCACTAATCACTCCACAAGGCTTACAACCCACGAAATGAGTCACCAACGGCCACCTATCATCACCTAAACCCGGATGATGATTCTCAAGCATCTCTTCATATTTATCAACCAAAATCCCCCAATAACCGTGCAAGTAATACGAATTCTCCAAATAAACATTCTCCCCCCACTTCTCCTTATTCTTTGCCAACAAATAAACCATAGCAGATTGATCATCCGCTTCAAATGGAGGTCGATCCTTCAACTCCTGAGTAAGAACATCCCCCGCCTCAACCCTTGTCTTCCCCTTCGGCCCCATTGGAGCCCACGCGTCAAGAAGGTCCAACGACCATTGACAATTTCGAATCAAAAAACTTCCAGTGTTCAACCCAATCCAATTCTTCTGTTCGAAAACCATCTCCTTCCAACCATGCATAATCAAATTATAACCCTCATACCTCTCCCATGGCAACTCAAATTCCATATCAGTAAACATAGCATCACTATCCATCCACCAAAGAAACTCGATTTCGGGGTTTCCCAACAACAGAGTCCTAATCAACGGCAATTTCGACCAAAACCCGGACATTTCAGCATCCAACAATGCCAGATTATAGAATATCTCAATTCCATGTAATCTACAATAATCAATCTTATTCTTTATCGACTTCAACAAGTAATAATCACCTACAGGACTCTCACATGGTTTTGGAGACGAACCAGTTACTAACAAAACCCTAGGTTTCTTCTTCTCCCCAATAAAATTGGGCATTTCAGGGTGTTTTTTCAACCAGTTCTCTCTCCTCCCATCCCAATTAACAACCTTAGGACCCAATTTATAAGGCAATAATCCAGAAGACGAAGATAATTCAACATCAACACCATTATCATCATCATAATAAAACTTCTTGTAAACAAAATTAGCGTAATTAAACGAATTCGAATTCGAAGAAGACGATGATTTTACCTCTTCAAGAAGATGATGAGGTTCAGCAAGCTTACGAGATGAGAAATGGTTGCGAATTTCGATGAAATCTTGCTCTGGAGTTCCGAATTTTCCGGCCCCAATTGTGCCGCGAAGAACGATGATGGTGAGAAGAAGGCAGAGGAAGGTGACATTGCAATGGCGGAAGAATCTGTAGAGCTGCCTAGCTTTGCGAACTCCTAAGCACTTCTCTAACATTTTTGGAAATTAATGGCGGAAATTCAAGGAATTAGGGAAGCCATTAATGGCGGCAAATTGAGAAAATTGGGGATTTTTGAAGATGAATTAGGAACCCTAGGACAGAGAAGAGAGGAGAGAAAGTGTGTTGGGAAGAGTGTCGGTGTTTTTGGATGAGGAATTTTTGTGTTGTTTATTACGGAGTACAATCTGTAAGAATCATTACATTATTTTATTTATTTATTTTTTTGAAAGACATAACATTACCTTTTAAAAAAGAAAATACTGAGTAATTTGTTGGACATTTTATTTATTTGGATGGTTGCATTAATTAATTGATTGAGGTAATTAGTGTTAGTGTACTTTCTAAGTTAATGAAGGTGCTACACAAATATAATAACACAAAACACATGGAGTAATTTAGTGGAGGTTATGAGGTACACATGGTGGTATTAAAGAAAAAAGGGTTAGTTGAAGGAAAGGGATTTGACCAAATATTACAACTCATACAAATATCTTTATGTATTCGTGCTTTCTACAAATTAATTTTATTTATTTATTTATGAGTGAATTTATAATACGGAATTTAAGTTTAGTTAGCCAATATTTAATAATATTAGGTTATGTTCACCTTTTTTAAATATGTTGTTACTTATTTCATATCACATCAGAAGAAATAAGTTTAGATTAGATTACATTAGATCAAGAAAAATAAGTTAGATTATTAGATCAGATCGGAAAAAATAAGTTCTGAACACACTTTAACCTTTATTTTATGTGCGATTTTTAACATTTATTTTATGTGCAAATTTTCATCTATAAATGTACAAGTATTTAATTACGTGATAAAAATAAAAAATATTATAGAAATTACATATTTGTAAAATAATACACATTAATACAATTTTAATAAGACCACATTTGATATGGTTTTTTTTTTTCGATTAGCATATAAGGTCATAGTTTTATCCTGAACAAATAAGTTTAGAACAACTTTGAAAAACTATATTTAGTAATTTTTTTTTTTTTGGGGGGGGGGGATATTTAGTATTTTATTTCACCTAATTTTTGCTTATCTAATACTCGTATGATCTTAACTTTTATTATTATTATTATTATTATTATTATTATTATTATTATTATTTGATTTCCTAATTTGACTAATTTTGACTTGTACACTAATCTATAAGGTTTAAAAAAGAAAGTTAAACAGGATTTTATTAGATTTGTTTAATTGTGTGTATATATATATATATAATAGGATTTTATTAGATTTGTATATATATATATAACTAGTTTTGTGTCCCGTGTGATGCTCGGGTTGTTTATTAAATTTTGAGATAAATTTTAAATCTATATTCAAATTTCAAAATATATCTCTAGTACAAAATTATTTAGCAATTGATGTGCTTTTGTAACGATTTAAACTATGTAGTAGGCATGTAAATGACTAATAATAATATTGGTATTTTTTTAGAGTTATAATCTAATTTTTTTTTAATAAGATTATAATTCGATTTATATATATGAATAGAGTTATAATCTATTTTTTTTAATAAACTTATAATTCAATTCATTGTTGGCAGATAATTAAGGAACATAAAGAAAAAAAAAATGGTTATTAAATAACCATGCATTACCATTGAAAATTAAAGGTGTTTCCAAATATAGGGAAAAATAACTAATGGTAATAAATATTGCAGGCTAAATTTTAAATGACTTAGGTTGTTTTAAGAAAACTATAAATTGAGCATTTCCTTCATTTGTATGTAATAATTTCAAGAGAAAATCTGAGAGAAGAAAAATAACTCAGAGAAAAGAGGGGTTGTGTTTTTTGCACTTTGGTATAAATAGACATTTTGTTTATGTAATTTATTTCTCCCTCAAATTTGATTAAATAGAAAATTTGCATTATTTTCTTAACAATTGGTATCAAGAGCTTGGTTGACAATTAGTCCACATTACGATAAAAATAAAAACGATCATAAAAGAAAAAGTCAAATTTGAGTGGGAGAAATGGCTGCAGACAAAGGAGAAGTTAAACTTGAAAAATTCGATGGTAAAGATTTCGAATTTTGGAAAATGCAGATTGAAGATTATTTATACCAGAAAAAACTCTATCAACCTCTGGAAGAGAAAAAGCCAGATGGCATGCAAGAAGCAGAATGGAAGCTTTTAGATAGACAAGCACTCGGAGTTATTCGATTTACGTTATCACGCAATGTGGCGTTTAACATTGCAAAGGAAACCACAACGGCAGGTCTCATGAAAGCTCTCTCTAATATGTATGAGAAGCCATCAGCCTCCAATAAAGTTCATTTGATGAGGCGGATGTTTAGTTTGAGGATGTCGGAAGGTGGATCGGTAGCTCAACACCTTAATGAACTCAATTCTGTCACAACCCAATTGAGTTCTGTTGAAATCAAATTTGATGATGAAGTATTAGCGTTAATACTTTTATCTTCCCTGCCAGATAGTTGGAATGCTACAGTCACAGCTGTGAGTAGCTCATCGGGAAATAACAAGTTGAAGTTTGATGACGTTCGTGATCTGGTTCTTAGTGAGGAGATTCGACGAAGAGAATCAGGTGAATCTTCATCCTCTTCAGTATTGCATACAGAGTCAAGAGGAAGAAATTTAATCAAAAGGAATGAACGCGGAAGATCAAACTATCGAGGACAATCCAGAGATAGGAGGTCAAAATCCAGGAATCCAAATAATTTCCAAAACTCAAAGACTGTGGAGTGTTGGAATTGTGGAAAGATTGGGCACTATAAAAATCAGTGCAAGGGAACACCAAAAGGCAAAGAAGTGAAGGCAAAGGCAAATGTCACTTCTACCGGAGAAGGTGATGATGCGTTGATATGCTCATTGGAGAGCAAAGAAGAGTCTTAGGTATTAGACTCTGGAGCATCGTTCCATGCTACTTCTAATAAAAACTTTTTTGAGAAGTATGTCCATAGAAACCTTGGACAGGTATACCTTGGTGATGACCAACCTTGTGATATTGTTGGTCAAGGTAATGTCAAAATTAAGTTAAATGGGTCAGCTTGGGAGCTGAAGGATGTCAAACATGTTCCCGACCTAAGAAAGAACTTGATCTCAGTTGGGCAGTTGGCTCGTGAAGGTTACACTATAATCTTTCAAGGTGATAATTGGAAGATTTCAAAGGGAGCAATGATAGTTGCTCATGGTAAAAAGAATGGTACTTTCTATTTGACAGCTGGAGCGTGTTATTCGATTGCAGTTGCAACAGAGAATGAAAATTCCAAGTTATGGCACCAAAGACTTGGTCACATGAGTGAGAAAGGAATGAAGATCATGCATTCAATTGGAAAACTCCCTAGTCTAAAATCTGTGAATTTAGACATGTGTGAAGAATGCATACTTGGAAAGCAGAAGAGGGTAAGCTTTCAAACATATGGAAGAACTCCAATGAAAGAAAAATTGGAGCTTGTTCATTCTGATGTGTGGGGACCAACAACCACCCAGTCTATAGGTGGAAAACAGTACTTTGTGACTTTTATTGATGATCACTCTAGGAAAGTATGGGTTTACTTTCTAAAATACAAGTCCGAAGTGTTTGAAGTTTTCAGGATATGGAAAGCTAGGGTTGAAAATGAAACAGGTCTGAAGATCAAAAGATTCAGGTCCGACAATGGCGGAGAATATGAGGACACCAAATTCAAGAAGTTTTGCTACGAGCATGGTATTAAGATGGAAAGAACTGTGCCAGGTACGCCTCAGCATAATGGCATAGCTGAGCGGATGAACCGAACATTGACCGAAAGAGCCAGAAGCATTCGTATACAGTCAGGTCTACCAAAACAATTCTGGGCAGAAGCAGTCAATACAGTAGCTTACTTGATCAATCGAGGACCATCAACCCCATTGGAGTACAAATTACCAGAGGAGGTATGGAGCGGCAAAGAGATCAAATTGTCGCACTTAAAGGTATTTGGTTGTGTAGCTTATGTGCACATTAGTGATCAAGGCAGAAATAAGCTTGATCCTAAATCAAAAGTTTGCACTTTTATCGGTTATGGCGAAGATGAGTTCGGATACCGTATTTGGGATGATGAAAGCAAAAAGATTATTCGTTCAAGAGATGTAATTTTCAATGAGAGAGTCATGTACAAAGATAGGCATAAAATTGAGAGTTATGAAACAAATCAAAAAGAATCTACATTCATTGATGAAGATTATGTCCCAGACAGTACGATGCAAGAGTACACTATCATAAGTACACCACAACAAGAAGAACAGACTGTACAGGGCAGTACATCGCAATCAAATGACATACAACAACCTTCTTGTCCAACTCCTACACTAAGAAGGAGTATTCGACCACATGTGCCTAATAGAAAATATATGAATTATTTGTTATTAACTGATGATGGGGAACCAAAAGATTATTATTAAGCATCCTAGACCAGAGATGCTAGCAAGTGGGGGCTTGCAATGAAAGATGAAATGCAATCCCTGATTTCAAACCAGACATGGGAACTAACTGAGTTACCCATAGGTAAGAAGGCCCTTCATAACAAATGGATATATCGAGCAAAAAAGGAGCACGATGATTCCAAGAGGTATAAGGCTCGACTAGTTGTCAAAGGTTTTCAACAGAAAGAGGGAGTTGATTATAATGAGATATTCGCTCCTGTTGTGAAACTCAATACCATTAGAACAGTGTTGAGTATTGCTGCAATTGAAGATCTTTATCTCGAGCAGTTAGATGTGAAGACTGCATTTCTTCATGGAGATCTTGATGAAGAAATATACATGCACCAGCCAGAAGGTTTTATAAAAAGTGGGAAAGAGCATATGGTATGCAAACTTAAGAAAAGTTTATACGGGCTAAAACAAGCCCCAAGACAATGGTACAAAAAGTTTGATAACTTCATGCACAAGGAAGATTTCCAGAAGTGCAACGCTGACCACTGTTGCTACTTCAAGAGATATCAATCCAGTTATATCATCCTATTACTTTATGTTGATGATATGTTAATAGAAGGTTCTGATATGAATGATATTATAAAGTTGAAGCATCAATTGTCAAAGGAATTTGACATGAAGGACTTGGGTCCAGCAAAGAAGATTTTAGGAATGCAAATCACAAGAGATAAGCAGAGAGGCACTTTGCAGTTATCACAATCAGAGTACATCAAACGTGTTCTTCAGAGATTTAATATGAGTGATGCTAAGCCTGTTAGTACACCGTTGGCGAGTCATTTTCGTCTATCAAAGGATTAGTCCCCTCAGACAGATGAAGATAAAGAATATATGGCCAAGGT